CTCTGATACCTAATTTCTTCAAAATCTACTAATTTTTACTGCTACGTAATTAATGCTATCTAGTCGTTCTACTTTAAAGAATTCGGTAATCGAAATTCCATAAAACTACAAATAATAACAGTTCAATGCGGAAGTTTCACTTCTTTCACAGTGAATTACTAACTTCACTTCTCCTACTTACTCCTGCTAATAGAAGTTATTGTATTTTCCTTACGAAATCCAGTGAAATCGAAATTAATCTTCAATTAACGCTTTAATTAAAACACGTTGAACTCTTTAAAATACCGTAACACGCATGCGGTTGATTCTCCATGAAAATTCCAATAATACAGTAGAAAAGGAAAATTCCCCAAAGAGAAAAATTTCAGAAAAAGAAAAGTTCCAGGAAAAAAAAATTCCCAAAAAATAAAAATTCAAGAAAAAGAAAAATCCTCTAATTAAAACATTCACGTTACGCACAAGCCTTCCCTCTTCTTCTCGTCAATTAAAGAATCGATATCTAACAGAAAATTACGTATCATCAGGAGTACTTCTCTGCGCAATCTTCATAAACTTCGGCAGCTTACGAGTTCCTTGCCAGATATCATCTGTTATCTCGGTACGATACGTACATACCATTGCGAACAAATGATCTCGTTTACTTTCCATCTGTCGATGAACGTTCGACGCGATATATCGCTTTCTATTATCATAGATCGAATACGCGTCTTTATTAGAAAGGTGGAAGCCATCCAACTTTCTACACGGACTTAATAAGATAAGATTTATCAAGTAGCGAGCATAAACGAGCAGAGTTGCGATACCTATAAAAATGTTCTTCCTCGAGCAACGATCTTAATAAATTCCTCTCGGAAGCAACGCTCGATAGATTGATAACCATTTCGTAACCGCGCTCGAGTTACTTTTACGCCGGAAGTTCCGTTCACTCTCCTCGAGCTTAACTGGCGAGAAATATTTTCATGGAAACCGAGAGTGTTTTCCACGGTGCGAAAGGAAACTATTCGAATAATTCGTTTGATAAAATTGGAGGTTTTGGTGGGATAGAAGGTATACACACTCGTTACGAGGATTGTTCTTTTCTCTTTCTCTTTTTTTTCGTTTTAATTTTTGCACTTTTCATGCAACGTAATATTAATAATTAAACAATATAATTGTAAAAAATAAAATTATCATTGTTAGTCTCTTTTTACAACGGTAGTAACATGGAATATTGTTAAATTAGTGCTGTTTGTTTAGTAACGTAAGTTACGTAGAAATGAATTATTGCAATTTCAACGTTCATATTGGAAAGAACGTGTTTCTTTTTTCCGAAGAAATTCGTTTTATACCAATATTTGTAACAACGTTACAAGCTATTCGGTTTCGTTAACAAACGTTCATGCCCATTTTAAAGCTGCAGGAAATGTTGAAAATAAAATTAGGGCTAAAAGCCAGTGTGACGTTAACAGAAGGAAAATTAATGATTATTTCGTGCGACCTAAGAATACAAAAATGTATTCCTTTGTTAACCCAGAAAGTTTATACTTACACATCGAGACGAGGAATGTAAATGTTTTTATTTGCCTACATTTCGAGAAAGTTGAGGGTTTGAGGAATATGTTCTACATTAATTTAGTAACTCTTAACACGTTCTGCATCACAAGTTGTCAAAAAACAATAACTTTGAGAGCAATAAATCATTCTATAGTACAATTCAGTTGAAGTGAAATAGAGATGAAATAAAATTAAATTATGAAAATATTAAAAACGTCGCTAAACGATACTTTAATCCATTTTACCGATGATTCATATCTGTTCTCCTAATCAAACTTAAATCAATTAATTAAACTCATTCAAGTACGAAAGAAAAGGGTTAAGTCTCATCACAGATTTTATGCAATAAGAATCCAACTGAATTAAAAATAAAATTAACACAACCAATAATGAATTTCATCCAAGTATAAAAAAGCCTTAATCTTTCTAGCAAACTAAACAAAAAAGGTTAACTCTCGTCACAGAATTTACCCAATAATAATCCAAGTACTTCCCTCATTTACCTAGCAATCGAATTTAAGATAAAATTTACACAACCAATAATCAAACTCATCCAAGTACGAAACAGCCTCGATCTTCCTCCCAAATACAAGTCGAAACAGTTCCCCTATCTCCCAAAATACTGAATTCAAACTAACATCAACACAACCACCACGTAACAAACTCCAAACCTAAACAAACTATCCCCAAATCCCCTTTTCCTCAAAATCCTTCAACTCCAAACCTCGACGTGTCAACCGACGAAACAAAACAACTCCACCTCAATTCCACCTCTTACGAATGCCTCTGTTCCTCCTCGACAGGCTTGATCGGCTGTGAGGCATCGTCGTACCTGCCGTTGTCCACGTAATAAACTTTGCTACGATAGTTATACGGCCCCTTGGCGTCAGATGACAATAACTTCGGTATGAACAGTTTCTTCGGCCTGTAAGAGATGCTGTTCGCGATCACGTCATACGGTAACTGTGCTTGAAACTGTAACAACTGTTGGAGTTCCCTAGGCATGTCCTTACTCAGAACCAGTTTCGGAGAAGGTTGCACGGGTAAACTCTCGATGGGCACAGGTATGTGCCCCACTTCTTGCGCCTCCTGTTGCTGTTGCTGTTGCAATTGCTGTTGCAATTGCTCGTATTCCTCTCGATACACGATTCTACCTTGCGTACCTCTGTCGGGGTACTCTCTCCTGGATTTCTGCTGCTCTATGTGTTCGAAACTCTCCGAAGGTTGCTCGTAATGTGGCAATTCAGCGTTCGGCGATTGCTGCTCGTACTGCTGAGGAACTGCGTCGTTCGGCGAGTAACCGAAGGGAGATTGTTCAACGTAGGGACGTTGCTCTTTGTAGTTATCCAAGACTTGCTTCACGTGCGCTGGAGGTTCGTTATATCTGTTGTAGTGCACCTGATTAGGGTCTGGATGCGTTTCTACAGGAGCTTGAGGTTGCGGATACCCTCTGTATTGCGGCTGATTCGGATCTTGAGGAGCTTCTACTACCTGAGGTTGAACGTACGATTTGTACTGCACTTGATCGAGCTCAGACTGAGCTTCCGGTTGGGCATGAGGTTGCAGGTACGATCTCTGTTGTATCTGTTCCTGGTCAACTTGCACGAGCTGCGACTGAGGCGGCCTGCTCAGCGTTGCTTGCTGACGATGAACAACCTCTTGTTGCTGAGGAGGCTGAGAGTTCTGCAGTTGAGACCGCCATTGATTTTGGGGAGAGAAGAACTTCCAATCGATTTTCAGGCCTGCAACGAGGGAGGACTCGCGTGATATCACTGTTGACGGTTTGGTTTAGTCACCTGATTCATCAATTGGTAAGGAGAAGATAGGAGAATTTGTGAGATACGCAGCGACGAAAAAGTGGTACTGTTTATTGCAATGGAAAATGATATTTCGTTTGAGATTTTGATTATTCAATTTGCGCGATTTTTTGTATTAACATGAATTCTAAACGAGGAATAAATGAAAGGGAAATAAACAACAGTCTAAAAAATGTAAAAATGAGATTATGATGATATTACATTGCTTTCATAACTAATTTGAATATAAGGAATTGAGTGAGAAGTTATTGAAGATTTAAGAAACTGAGAACACAGTTAAATGATTGTTTAAAAAATAAATGACTTCAATTATTTACTCACGTCGTACGTATACACTTGACGTCAAAATTTTTATTAATAATTACTCAAGTAACATATACAAATTATTCACAATAAAACTAAGAACAACCAACATTTCCTGAATCCGAAATTTCGCAAAATTCTCACGGAAGACATCAACATGTCCAGTGCAATAAATTAAACAAATTACACAACAATCGTTACAGTTTACTCGTACCACACCAGAAACGAACGTTTATCGAACACATCTATATTCACATAACACCCAATTAAAGTTCCAACAATCGAACCAACAAGTCAATCGTGTTACTTTCGACGGACAGAAAAAGGAACAAAGATACGATTGTCCTATCTCCCATAAAACTATTCGATTATACTCGTTTATCGAATTAGATCTACTCACCATTGGGATCCTGATACTTAATTTGCGATTGCTGTGCTCCAGTAGCTCGGTGTACCTTTTGTTCTTGCGCCGCCGCCGTCGAAATCAAAGCGATAAGGAGAATCTGCGAACCGATTGAATCGTGAAATAAATTATTCACAATGAGATGCCTTCCTACCAAAGAGCGTTGCTGTAACGGTAATGGGATCCTTTAGAAAGTAAAGTCTTCGCGGACGTTTGTCTTTCTCCTATGGTAGTTGGAAATCGACACCAACGACGACGTCGTACACGGAAGAGAATTCGTACGATCGTTTTGTTCAATAAAACATTTGACTAGAGAGACCACGTTTCCGCCTTTGTCCCGTCGCTTTGTATAAATGCGATTCTGCGTTACAAACGAACGATCCTACGAACCGACTGTTGCACCGCGCTGCCGCCGAACATTTCACTTCCTTTAGCGGCCTGTTGAAATTATCATAAAATTAAGTCCAACCATGGCCATAGCGAACGCTGCACACCCGTACAGAATGGCTCTTTAATAAGCTTCAACTGTGGGAAATCACGAATGATTATGTTTCGGTGAACGAACTCTCGTTTCTTCGTTCTCGGTTGAATGTCGAAAAGCGTTCCACTGACAATGAACAATTCGTGTGCAAGGTTGGAAGTTTGAAGTGATCCAAACATATCGCGTTGGAATTTGAATTAATTCTAATTAGGTTTGTTTGTATTAACGTTAAATTTGACGATACGTTTTACTGTCAACTATTTATCATTCTTGCAACTTTTTAATTTTATTTTTTGTTTATTTTATATTAGATAGTTATTTGAATTTTGAAAATTCTTGAACTATATAAAATTTAGACGGAATAAAATATTAATTTAGCAAGATAATTGTTAGAGAGATTTTGCGACGAAATATTTAAATACTCTGCAATTGTTCCTGGAAATCCAGTACCTTGTTGATTTTTCAGCTGTTAATTTTAGAATAATATACTTTTTCTTGTGCAATAAAACATCTCTAAATTTCTAAATAACAAATTGCTACGTTAAATCGTTGTACAAGACCAATGTCGACTTTCCCTCTTTGGTACGAAAAAACAAGAAATCGCGAATGTTGTAGAATAGAAACATGCATGAGTAAATCGAGCCTTGAACCAGTGTAATGCTAAAGCTACTACATAATTAATTCATGGTTTCTATTCAGGGTCCCGTTTACGCAGAGAATGGCTATCGGTGCATGGGATACTGATAACGAAATATCTTCTAACGAAAAAAAAAGTTAAGAGTATCTCCTACTATTAAACTACTCCAAGTCTATCATATACAATAATTGCAGTTATTAATAAGCAATTATGTAATAATTAGCAATGAAGTCCTAGTAAATTACTGAGATGAAAATTTCTATCACTCGAGAATCGAACAAATTAACAAACACAAACAGAGGATCAGAATCGATTACCTAACCTGCAAATGGTGGACACTAGTGCACCACGAACTATAATTCCACGAAAGTAATTATCAACAATTCCAAAAAAATTATTTCCAGTAATTCTAGAAAATAATCTAGAAAATAATTTCCAACAAAAACTCGATAAAAGTGTACCAGTCGAATAATTATCAACAATTCCAAAAAAATTAATTCCAATAATTCCATGAAAATAATTTACAATAATTCCACGAAAATTCCAACAATTCCATGAAAATAATTATCAACAATTTCCAACAATTCCGCGAAAAGAAATTCCAACAATTCCGCGAAAAGAATTTCCAACAAAAAAACTCAACCAAACTGTAACAGTCATCAACAGACGCACCCGATTACCACCACTGCTACATGTTCTACTTCGCCCCAATCACCATACAGAGTCACAAACCCAAAAAAAGCAAGTGAAAGAAACTACTCGGCCCTGATTCACCTTCCCCAACAGCGTTCACTTTCCCTAAACGTTCTAGTTGACGATTAAAACTGTCCACTAAAAGTCCTGATCAATTTCCATCACTGTCAACCCTCTATAGCCACGCAGCACAAATGCACCGCAACTTGCTCCGTGTCACTCACTAACATCGAAAAGAAACTCGAAAATAAAATACAAAACCAATCGACAACCCTAGACACTCCCCGTCTAAAATTCCCATTGCAAACAAACTTTAATCGAAAATTTAATCGGAATAAAAAGACCACCCTCGTGAAGAGCTGTTCGCCGTAAATCGATTTTAATCAGAATCGGTGGATTCACTCACTCGAAGTCTCATGGCTGGTAGAGAGGAGACGATCAACGTGGATGCTCGATTCGCGCGGGTCTACGAGCGGAAATCAGCCGTCGGGGCAGCCGTGGCTCTTCTATATACTCCGAGTCGGCCTGGTGTAATTGGTCGGCCAAGCAGACGGCCGGTGGCTACCTACTTTTAAAGTAATTCTGCCTCTGGTAACGAGCGAACCATCGAGGCCCTCGGGATATTATCGCGGCCGATTGCAAGAATGCGTCGCTGGCGCAATCCTGTTACAAAGTCGATCTAGGAAGCTGCCCGGTATCGAGAGGTGTTGTTCGAGGTTACCAGAGTTTAGAACCTCCCCGAGGGATGAACAATCGTGAGGAACTCATGATGACGGGGTCTATGATCTATTATCGATGGGACTTTCGAGAAGAAATTAAGCATCCTACAACTTGCTTGGGACGATGTTGAAAGATTCTGTATAATTTGGTACAGTAATGGTAGTAATTTTATTCTACTTTAAAAGATAAATTAAGAAACATACTACAGAAGAGCGTGATTTACGATCGGTCCTTGGTCATTTCCACAGAACAGAGCTGTCGTTATTTTATCTGTTGAGAATTGCCTTTTTTAGAAATTTATTATGTCTTGGAATACTTTGTAGAAAATGTGAAAGTGAAGTTTGGACTTACTGAGAGTAAATGAAGATAGTGAAATTTGAAAATCTAGATTACAATTTCTTATTAAAAATGGAAATGCGGCATAGATGAAAGTGAAACTTAATTGTAAGATATTCTATCGATACACATAACACATGTTTTACCATGGAAAATACTTCTTTTGTGAGCGGGAAAATTCTTGTTATTACATAAAAAATCTTTTGTAGTGGCTCGCGTTATGTGTAGATTCTATTTCCTGAATAATTTCACATTCAACGAATAAAACTATCTTTTTATTCTTCTATAGGTATTTCGCGAATGAATTTATAAGACAGACGGATCGTTGCAACTTTCATAGCTACGATACAAGAAATTTGTAATACAGAAAAGATTTAAACGTGCAAAGAAAGATTAAATCTCTCTGATTAAACGAATTGCAATTGTAATTTTTCAAATGTGCAACAATAAAAAAATACAACCAAAGTAAAGCAGCAACAATAATCGTGTCATTGCCAAATTATTAATATTAATGCTTCGTCGTGCAGGAGAAAGGAATTTATAATTGGATTTATATTATCTAATAGTAAAACGATGTTATTTCACTGATTCAGTTAATGACAAAAATAAACACTCACGTACGCATAATATAAGAAAACTGTCGCATACCGTGCTTTAATTAACGCAAAATTAAGGCAAGCCGTTATTCAATCGGTCCTTTGTAAGTTAAAGAAAGCTTGAAATGAATGAAACCGGTTTTGCACATCAAATAGTTCACTTGTTCACTATTACAGCATAACAGAAGAGAAAATACAAAATGACATAATAAGTAGCACCACTTTTATTTAATTAGAAGAAGCGTTTAAAAGAAAGAGAAAATATTTAAAAATTAACCGTTTCGTGTAGTCTTTTCAAAATTACAAAATTGTACAACTTTTCTAAAATTTCTGCCTTCGTTCGTATCGAATAACAGATCTATCATAGTTCTTTCTAAAAATTGTATAAATTATTCTACATTGTACAAATAATCCTCGATATTATACAATGTTATTAATACAACTACTACTATTAAATCTCTAAAAAGAGATTAAATTACATACTTTTTATAATTAATTCTTCGAACATAAAAATAAATTTACAAATACACAAAAAAGAAAGTCAGTAGCGAAATACAGGAAGATTTCAAACCATCGTATCTCTGTTTCTAATTAAGATAACGACAAAAACCACAATGTATTTTATTCGTCAATTTATTTTACTCCTCAAATTAGCCCCAAAGCGAACAAGAGCGGATATAAGTTGAATTATATTTTCTCCACCGCGGAAAATATAATTCGACCTATATTCGCCCGTGTTCACCTTACGAATGATTTAACGAGTGTATTGCATTCGTCTTTAACTAACGAGTATAATACCCTTCGACTTTTGTCTCTATCTCAATTAGAAACAGGGATGCGACAGTTTGAATTCTTTCTAAATTTCGCTACGAATTTTCCGAACCTTTTTCACACTTCAACCTCTCCCATCACTATTCTTGAAACGAGCCCTTTTTCGATCATTGAAAAATGAAATAAATACGCTTTTAGCTCAAATAAAATAAATAGAAAATACGTAAAATTTCAAAGAATTTCAGAATCTCGTTATCGGTAAATCTGAATGTAATAATGTAACGACTCAAGGAGAAAGACAAAAGCCATTCTTTCACGTCTGCCGTAAGCAGCTGCTTTGCATATAAATTGCACACGACTAAATTTATAACGTGCAAACAATTTTCTACAATTGACTCAAACTACACTATTGGCGAGGGCTAATAACAGCTGCAAAAATTGGGATAAAACTCGTGTACCAATCACTGTGACAAAAAGTAGACAACAATGACATAATCGAACCTACGATGAAACTTTGAAATTCGAATCGGGACAAATGACTACTGCAACGCCCCTGAACTTTTAATTGCGTAAAAATGCAACACGACAGACTGTAAATTACCAAGCTTATCTTCGGATGCATCTTTGCCTCTCAAGAACGAGCATGTTTTTAATTAAATGCAAATAGGTACACACTGCTTCTGGAATTCATTAGGTTTCATAGGCACATCTATCTTCTCATCTTTCTCTTTAAACGCTTTATTCAGTTTCGACCTGTTTAAGATGTCATTTATTTATTTATATCTTTGTGCGGATTTTTCAATCAATTATATTTCTCATCCTTGACTTACGACGCTGTCTATCCTAACTTTTTCAAGTCAACAAGTATCTAATTCTTCATATTTCGTTAATTTATATGTTTCATTTCGTTTTGAAGATAAAATGAGAAACTTGTAGGATTAGAAAGGAGGAATAATGTTTAAATAAAAATTATTCAAAGTTGTATTTGTATAACTGCACAAAATAACTATACAAAATATAACTGCGAATAATTATTATTTAAATACTAAATAACA